TTAAGAAAGGTAGCCTATTTTCCAACCTAGGTCATAAGCTATCTGTGTGAAAATTTTCATGCAAATCCATTCAGTCGTTCCCGCATATTAAATAAATTAAACTTTTTTAACAGGCGGTAACTCTTAAAAAAAATAGCCTATTAACCAATCTGGGCCGTAAGCTATCTGCGTACCAAATTTCATGAAAATCCGTTCAGTCGTTTCCGCGTGATGATTTCCCAAACATCCAAACATACAAACTTTCACATTTATAATATTAGTAAGATAGTAAGATTAGTAAGATAAGATGTATGTACAAATGTACATATTACATATCGTCTACTACTTGTAGGAGAGTTGCCACTTATTTTAAAATATAAATTCAACTTGAATTACGTATTATATGTTTAAGATTAGGGGCTGTGGCTTTGTGTATTGTATATCCGTATCGCAGCGCGTCTTCATTGCGTTCATTTGATTTAGTAATTTCAGCACTTGTGGCGTGATTAATTGAAGCATATTTTCAGCTCTGTGTATGTATGTATGTGTGCATAACTATTAACTACATGTCTTAATACGATAGCTTTGATAATAATGTATTTAGTATATTAAAATCAATAATCCGAGCTTGTGAGTATGGCGAGAAAAAACTTATTCTTACATTTAATCAACATTTCATTCAAAGTGGTTCACAAATACATACATATGTATACGCATACATACAAATACATACATATACATACATACATATTACATAACTTTTTCTCAACTAATTACATACATATGTATCTGTTGTCCATGCATTCGATTTGCCGTGAACTTAATGCTTGTTGTTGTAAATCATTGATATTCAAACTTTTTGCAATTTTGAAAACATGTACTAATACTAAACTTAAATGTTCTTTTTTTTACTTGTCCTGCAAAAGATCCAATCCTGGTACGCCCACCCAACCAAGACGACCCGATTTCATTGGTCTAAATACACAACAACAACCGTCACAGACTTATTACGAGTATACGACTGGCTTGCCGCCGCAACATCCACAACCGCCTACCATTCAACAGCAGCAAATCATGTTGCAACAACAGCAACAACGTGCCATGATGCAACAGCATCAGCATCAGCAACAACAACAGCAAGGTGAGAAAGAATACAATCGAAAATATAGTAAACGATCATTGCATGAAAATAAAAAGAAACGAAAAAAATTACTTGCCATGGCCAGCGCATTTAAGACCTCTAAGAAATCTAAGTCTAAATCCAGCAAAAGCCATAAAATTCGAAGCCCCAATTGGTCCATATACTAAGTATGAAATCAAGTAGCTACTAATTCATTTACAATCGTATGTACTATTTCGTATTTACTATAAAATTAAATGTAAATATGTATAGAAGGGCAAAAGGAGTGAGAAATAAGAATTATGTATACGAAAAGTCAAAGAATGGAAAATACGCGCAATACAATTGGGCTTTTTCCGCTATTCTAATCCCATCCGGCTCTTTGGGCACAATCGGCCGATTTTTTCGCCTATTTGATTGAGTCAAGACTTATTTACTTACTTGTTTTTATTGCAAAATGAATAATAGGCCTTTTTTATGTTGTTTAAAATTATTAATTCATTACTGCACATTATTTATTAAATTACTTACTTGTGATTTATCCGGTAGCGTTACCTTGTGAGGGGTAAAGCTTTAACGAAATTCGACTAAATATTATTTACCGTAAATTTTGCTCTACGTATGAACTTCTGAACTGTTCTATTCACACAGCAAAATGGAGAACGCTCCAGGCAGGGCGTTTTCAATAAGATCTTTTTAGGAAGCTGTTTCAGATAAGATAAAATAATATGTAGTTCGCGGAAAGCACCCCGCACTTACACTAAAAGATACAGTAATGCGGTTTTTTTCATTTTTGCCGCTTTCCATGGTAAATCATAAAATTTAGTGAACGAGTGCCGTGCCGAGCAGGAAAAATTAGGCCCGCACCCATCTCTACTATGCCGTATTATGTCGTTCCCACGACAGTCGGGTCTACGTAACCGGAAAGACCCAGATTTATATTTGGCCAAGGACTGTCACTTCAGCAACACTCGCCAAAAACTCGTTGGGGAACTCTTATGCTGCTATAACAACAACATGCTGCATTATGTCATGGGCATATTTAGACATGTGTTGCGTTCGATAACAAAATTAGCCAACACCAGCTAACAATCAAAATCAAGAGAGTAAGCGAAAATTCTCTCCCAAAGAGATGAAAAAGCAAAAAAGTAAAGGAACAGGAAATTAGCCATTACTTGCAAAAACCGGAAGAAGAAGACACACCAGCTGACTTTGTTTATGTTTTATTTGTAAACAAACTGAAATTCATGTTGCCTCCATAGAAGAAAAAAGGAAAGTGAACGTTCAATGTTCGCCAGGAACATTTCTACATAGAAGTAAAAACTAGTTGGCGCTATCATAAAGTCACATAGCAGGCAGCCAAAAAGCATATAAATACCAAAACTCGGAAAATGCAATTTTGTTTGTTTACAAAAATTGCAACCATATGTTTTGTGATCATATGTTTTCGTGTTGGATCATTTTTGCTGACTAAAATTTTGCCAGTACAAAATGAACGTTTCTCTTGCATCAAAATGAACGCTTGCTCTCTCAATTTTTGTGTGTTGGATAATTTTTTGTCGTTATCGAACGCCATCCAGTAAAAATTTGGAAAACTATTACAAATTTTTGACTTGTCGAACGCACCTATTTTCTCAACAGTCCGCAACAGTAACGCAACGCTCGAAAGAAATTTTAGTAAATGTTCCCCTGTGTTTTTTTTTTTTTTTGCTTTTGTGGATCAGTGCCGGACATCGCTCCTGCGAGTAAATTCCCATTTTGGTCAAGTGATAGTTCAGCCTGCAGTATTCTCAGAATACCTACAATATTCGTAAGCTGATCTTGGATAGGCTTATACATTCCTTAAAGCGTTTTAAGTTTTAAGTTTTGAAAAATGCTTTGAAATACTCTAGACCTGGGAGATGAAGAGGTTGAGAGGCTCCTTTCTTTTTAAGTTTATCGTCAGTCTTATTTCCTTCAATACCAATATGCCGCGCAAGCCAGATTGCTTAGACCAAGAGTTTTGAGCTTTTCAAGGCCCTCCATCACCTGTTAAATGTTACCTGATAAGCTCTGAAGGCTTCAATAGGCTCTTGGATATCTGTCAAGATTGTGATGTTCTGATTCCGGTAGTTTCGCGTGATATTAAAGTATGCGGATCTTTCTATAGCATATAGCGGTCCAACCACACTTTTTCCGGTACCCTCCTCAGACAATGAGCCATCAGTGTACCCGGTTATAATGTTTTGGTATATCCGATATATTTCGGCCCAGCTCTTCTTATTACATACTTACATCAGTTTTAAACCTTTATATTCCAATTACCGGGTTATGCATCGTCAGAATTATCGATGTTGCTACGACTAAGAAAACCTTCTGCCCCGATGTTGGTACCAGCCATCCTTAGTAGAGCCCTTTTCGCCTGAGTCTGTATATGAATATGAAGAGGAGTAAGATCTAGAAGAACTTCCAGTTAAAAGTTCTCAAGGCTCCATTGATGCTCAGAACATTCCATATTGCTGTCTCCTTATTTTCTAAAGTGGCTTTTGCAGAGCGGCCCGCCATATATGAGTGCTGAAACGAGTTCAGTAGATAGTGTTAAGATGATTACCTCTCGTCATCTTCCACACAGCTGCTGGTTTCCATTGGGCAGTGCGTGCTCAAGATTCCAAGTCAAACTTTACGTAGACAATGCCAGATTTTGCATATTTCCGTTCGAGTTAGAATAGGGATATTCTCGAAGTCTTGAAAAGCCCTTGCGCGGTGCACGGATTGCATGGTAAAACCGGTTTTCCCATGGGACAGCTTTGTAAAGAGTGCACCGTGCAAGGGCTTAGCATGACTTCGAGAATACCCCCAATAATACAACATTTAAGGAGCAACCCTGTGTTGGCACCTATAAACCGGGCTACACTCTAAAACTTATCGGTCACGAAAATGTCGTCAGAACGGTTGGGGTTATTATGCGCTTACAACGTCGATCACATAGCTATTCATTTTTTTTAATCACATCTCACTTCTTTTTCGTTCTTTGTAGCTCAAATTTAACCTGTTCAAGTTCGTATATCATAGTCGAATTCACATTAATTTGTTCTTACATTTGGCACCTCATTCACAGTACCGCTAACACATCACCAGCAACAGGTGCTGGCCTCACAGGCCTACGGTGGAAGCCCTCAACGCCGCTTTCTCTCCGAAGGTGAACTAGTACGACAGGGCGGCAATGAACTTTCATATGCGCGCTCTAACAACACGGTAGATAATATACGCGAATTAGCGGGTAGTCCACAACGTGGCGTCTACATGTGGAAGGACACTTCGCCTGGCTTCAGTAGTAGCAGTGGTAGCGCCAGCGGCGGCGGTGGCGGTGGTGGCATGCCGCCCTCTTCCATGGGCATCGGCAGCAGTGGCGGCTCAATGGCCAATAGCATACATCACGCACAGTACATCACAGTAGGCGGCAGCGGTCAGCCACATCCATTAATAATGACGCATTCGCGTATACACCAACCAGGCGAATATGTACCGGTAGCTCAGCAACAGCAACAACAACAACAACAACAAAATCAATATCGTTCCAATCCGACCAGTCCTACGACGATGCCACCTACCTCGTCGACATCCGCACCAACCTATATGATGCGTTATGGTATTGGTAATCCCGCTGCCTCACAGTCAAATAATTATGTGCACACATCACAAGCGATGACAAATTCTAACGCCGGCGGCTATCAGCCACAATTGCGGGGCGGCGTTCCCGTTTTTCCACCAAATCCTAGTGGGCCCAGCGGTGGCGGCGTCGGTGGTGCTGGCGTTGTCACCCAACTACAAACACAGCCATCGCCTCAAGTGAAGCGAAAACAGACGCCAACACGTCCCATGTCATTTGTGCGCGCACTCGAAATGACCGACTCTATGGAGATGCAATCGCTGGAACAGCAGCAACAGCAGGGGCGCAGTGGCAATATGCCACCATCAGCAGTAGGTGGACCAGGCGCACAACATTTGGTGGGTGGTGCACGCACGACCACACCCACACCCGAACGTGCCAGCGTTTACGATATGAATTACGAAATCTCCGTATAACCCGTGGTTGTGCCGGTTGTCGTGCCACCCGCCTCTGTGACCATTTCGGCAACGGCAGCGGCGTATGCGCGAAAAAAGGGCGCAAGCGTTGTTGCCAGCACGGCCGAGCCATCGGCGTATGCGTCGGTGCCTGTAATGGCGGCAAATGCGCCCAATAGGCGCAAGTTCTCCACCTTCTTCTAGAGAAATACATTTACATATGTATGTGTGGTGAAGCCGTCTCACTTTTGATGGCTAATGTCATCGATTAAGTCAGCTTATCTTTAGAAATTATGAAAGAGAAAATTGTTGTGCTTTCTTTTTTACAACTTTTTACTATACACTAAACCACTTCCTTTAATAGCAAGTCATCGCTTATGTATCATATACCACACTCTACGCTACCAAATACCACTATCCGTATCGCCAAATGTAAATAAGTATACAACCTAAGATACACCTCCTACGAATACTGCATATACATAAATACAGACATACATAATTAATGATAATAGTTGTATAAAAAAAAAATATCTTTAAGTGTGATTAATTATGCCACATCTATTGGTTATCAATTTCAAAATCATCGTATATATTGTATATTTTCATCCGAAGATTAGCCTGTAAAAGTTTTAAATACATATGTATGTATGAATTGTAAATCAACTTTTATACATAAATATCGAGTCAACGAGCTCATAAAACCATAAAAGTATACTATATGAAAGTGTCTATATAATATTAGTTATGGTACAATCAGGGCTATCACTGAATCCATCGTAGTCCGAATTTTTTGAAAATCTTCGAAAATGCAATCACGATGGATTCAGTGATATCCCCGAATATGTTTGTCTAAACAAACAGATGACTAAACTAAGCAAATTAATGTGTATGCTTGAATGAGAGTAGCAGCAAACAAAAAAAAAATATTCACATATACAAAAAAGGTGTAGCTTCAATTCATGGAACATTGCGACATAAAAGCAAACAGTTTTTGGCCGTACTTCTCGTTTATATGTACATACATATATACTGTGGTGAAATTAGTTTCGAACAAAGCTTCGGCTCGTATTGGCATATTCATACATATCATCACTACCATGTCGAAACTATCGAATGTGAAAATGGGTATTTTTCAGGAGAGCAGAAAAAAACTGTTGTTAAAATGTCGTCGTTAGGAAAAATTGTGGGATTCGAAACTTTGTTAAAGCCAGTATCCTCTGCTTCTAAGAAGAGTAGAAATTTGACGATTTGCCAACTGGCGCATCATTCTAAACACATGCGCAAGGTATTGTAACTGAATAAGCATTTTTGCTCATTCGATAGTTTGACATGGTAGCGACGATATATAGGTGCTATAAATATGTTCTTTAATTTTTACAACCACCATCTCCTATAACCTATTCCTTTAAGGAAAATGAACCTACAAAAGCCCTTTCAAATCATTTTGCTTGTAAAATGGCATTTTGACGTTTCGCGAATTCAAAAAATTTATAAGATGCTTACCTAAAAAAGTTTATTAAACAATTTGAAATTTAGTTGAAAAAATAACGGTATGAAATTAAAAGCTTTATTAGTACTATGATGAAATTTGTAGAGAACAAATTTGAGATATATTGAACTTTCAATAAAATTGGATGCATGAGGTAAAGAACACAAGTCCGCTAGCCCTCTTTTATCAGTCATTTATGTATGTATGTTTGCTATCTTCAAAATTTAATTTTAACGCTTTACATGTGTGCACCGAAATTTAGACATAATAAAATTTATGTTAATTGATAAAGTTTACCACATTTTTATCAGATTTTATAAATCCACAACTTTATTAAATTTATACGCGAAAAAAAATTGTTCTGGCATTTAAAAGCTTTGGCATTCGTAGCTGAAATTTTTTATGTACGAATTTCGCCAGTGTTCCAATGTATGTATATATGTATGTATGTACTACCAATGCCCAAAATACTCTGGCTTTCATTCCGCAACACGTTTGATCGTTTACAGTGTTATGTCGTATATGTAGTGTAAAATACCATTTTGAATATTGTACATATTTATTAAGTCATCATGCTGATCGTTCATCCTGACGACAACATTAAGCGCAAAAAAAAAAGAAACTCCCATAGTCCATCCCAGTGAGGGTCCATACTATTTGGCTGGTTTCGATTAACCGAAACGGTGTTGGTATTCCTTGCCTTCCTTGTTATTATTTTCCGGCCATTAAAAGTATACAGTCCATAATAGCGGCGGTGAGGTAGAGAAAGTTGAAAGTTTGTAAGATTTGTAAAGTGGCGAAATTATAATATGTATGTACATATGTGTTTAAAACAAATACAAAAATTCAGCGCTATGCAATTAACAAGATTGAATTCACCTTAGTTACATCATATTGATGTTTAGATATATGTATATGTATTTGCAAAGAATCAAATAGGGATGGCGCAATTTTTGTTTACATACATATATACCGCTGCCAAATACTATCAGCTAATCGTTTTTTGAACTTTCTCGACTTACCTACTACGCCTAGAAACTGTGAAACTGTGGAGAGTTTATGTGGCTTTAGGCATTTGATTTGCTTGTAAACAATTTATCTAGAATTGTAAGAAATCCGAAAAGTTGTTAGCAACTTTGAAATTCATTATTTAATTGTACGATTAGTTCTTTTTTAAATTGTTGAACTTTCTTTTATTAATATTTGTATGTACAAACATATATGTACGTATGTATATGAATTTATGTATGTAGCTACTAACAAATTATTGACATTGTTCAGTTCAGTTGTTTAGAACGGTGGCATTTTGGCAATCTAAAATGCGCTGTAGCTAATCGGATACGTTAAAATTTACTAAAAAATCGTTTACCATAAAAAATTGCTTAACTGATAGTGTGCTTATGTAACGGGTGATTTTTTTGAGGTTAGGATTTTCATGCATTAGTATTTGACAGATCACGTGGGATTTCAGACATGGTGTCAAAGAGAAAGATGCTCAGTATGCTTTGACATTTCATCATGAATAGACTTACTAACGAGCAACGCTTGCAAATCATTGAATTTTATTACCAAAATCAGTGTTCGGTTCGAAATGTCGAAATCGACAAATTTTGTTCAGCGATGAGGCTCATTTCTGGTTGAATGGCTTCGTAAATAAGCAAAATTGCCGCATTTGGAGTGAAGAGCAACCAGAAGCCGTTCAAGAACTGCCCATGCATCCCGAAAAATGCACTGTTTGGTGTGGTTTGTACGCTGGTGGAATCATTGGACCGTATTTTTTCAAAGATGCTGTTGGACGCAACGTTACGGTGAATGGCGATCGCTATCGTTCGATGCTAACAAACTTTTTGTTGCCAAAAAATGGAAGAACTGAACTTGGTTGACATGTGGTTTCAACAAGATGGCGCTACATGCCACACAGCTCGCGATTCTATGGCCATTTTGAGGGAAAACTTCGGAGAACAATTCATCTCAAGAAATGGACCGGTAAGTTGGCCACCAAGATCATGCGATTTGACGCCTTTAGACTATTTTTTGTGGGGCTACGTCAAGTCTAAAGTCTACAGAAATAAGCCAGCAACTATTCCAGCTTTGGAAGACAACATTTCCGAAGAAATTCGGGCTATTCCGGCCGAAATGCTCGAAAAAGTTGCCCAAAATTGGACTTTCCGAATGGACCACGTAAGACGCAGCCGCGGTCAACATTTAAATGAAATTATCTTCAAAAAGTAAATGTCATGGACCAATCTAACGTTTCAAATAAAGAACCGATGAGATTTTGCAAATTTTATGCGTTTTTTTTTAAAAAAAAAAGGTATCAAGCTCTTAAAAAATCACCCGTTACATATGTACATACCTACATACAGATGTATGCGCATACAATAGAAAAAGTCATAAAAGCGCTCTTTGCATGACAGATTTAGCGGCGGTGAAATCTAATATCCCGCCAAAGCTGCGCTACACAATTGCAAATTTAATCAGCTTCAGTTCTGCGATTAACGTAACTGCATGTGAGTTCATTTCTAAAACAAACTAAATCAACTAAATTTTAATGTAGAACTTAACATACTTCAAGTCTACTCGGATAAATTTTATAAGCTGAAGCACATATTATGCTGCTACGAAAAAGAGGAAAAAATAACAAAAAACAAGGGAATCATATTCCTTACTCTTCAACTAAACAAGTCATCTATATTATTACGAATTTCGGTACGTGAAATGTGACTGCAAGAAATACATATAAAAGTACTAAACAAATCTGTAAAAAAGCGTACTATATGTTAGATATTCTTCTCAACTAACTAGTGGCATTTAATTTATAAGCAAACAAGTAAATATTCAAATAAAAAAGGAGAGAAGAACTGTAAGCACCTTAAAGGTAAAGTTATCAAAACAAAACAACAACAAAAAAATAATTAAAACAGTAATTTAAAATTAATATAGTAAAAATTATAAATCTACAAAAAATAGCAAAGTATAGGATTTAGAAAAGAAAATTGTATATGAATTTTAGTGTGTAAGGAATTATATTCTTGTATGTATAAATAATGTGCGCCCATATGCGATAGAGAGAAAGCAAAACATTATGAAATATATACGGAAACAATGTTTGAAGTGAAATTAAAACAAAAGAATGTGTACATAATTTTAATTAAATGCCTTGCAAAGTAAGTCCAACGTAAGTATGAAATCATATTGAAATGTACTAAAATTTTACTGACATTTTCGCTCATCACTATTGTGAATTTTGGTGCGCAGAAAAATGTGCTACATGAATTAATTCGATTTTAAAAGTGCTAGAACAATACACAAAAACTTAAAAATTTGTGTTATAGCGGAGTATTTGTTCTAGCAGCAAACTTTCAGGCGCAGTAGAAATCATAGCAGTGATAAGGTTGTGACTGTTAATGGCATGTTTGACTTCTTAAATGCAATTTATAAATATAATTGATTCCTCAGATCAAAAACACACTCCAAATTGGCGCTTGACTGAGCTGCTGCGCCAATTTATAGTGTGCACCTTAATGTTATCACTAGGGAACGTATTTTACGGAAGCTCCATTTTTACAAGCTTTTATTTATGTAACTTAAACTGTATGCATCAACCACGATGTAGCACACAAAGGTGGCACATTCCGCAAACCGCCACTTTGGTTATGCCAATTTCGACAATTCTCAAGTAAAAGTAAACAAGGCCTCACAAACTTTGAATGCACTAATACTTACGCAAAAATCACCGTTTTTTTATCATTTTCTGTTTTGTGTTTCCATGATGTCGGACGTGACATTCGTACGACTTTGGAGTTAAAAAAAAAAACACATACGAAAGCGGAAGTCACTTATAAAAAAAAATTTCCTTTATACCGTCCTTTGGTGGACAAAAAAAATTAGGTGCGCTTTGAACACTGGTGTCGAGAAAATATGTGAAAAGCTCATAACGCACGTGACAAAAACAAGTGGTTTCAGAGTACATGTAAAAATAAGCGAAACTCTGCCAATCCTGTAAGGTTTTCCTCTCTTAAACATTCTTTAAATAAAGTCAAATTACGGACCATTACAAGCAATTCATTTTTAATCAGAAGCAATTCATTGTTGGTTTGATTTTGAACTAAAATGTGATAACGGAGGTGACATATCGGACGTGACAGATTTTTCGCCCATACGATATTTTTCCTAATAATACATCTAGATGCTCTAGTTCTGCATTCAAAAGAGAATTTTTAAAAAAATTTCGCTTATATCTTTTTGACGGTTAGTGCTCGATATGAGGCCATGAAGGCCAAAGGAGCCTATTTACAAAACAAAATTTTTTAGTAATATGCGAAATACGTATCTATAAAAAATAAATGCGGTCCTTTACTAAATAGTTCATTGCACCTACGTGATGCTACATACTTTAGTAAAAGAAAACTAAAAGGGCGTACCTGGGCCTATTACCGTTTCAATTCTAGAAATTCATTTTAAGGTGCACCACAACTTTTATAAAAAAGTAAAGGTCGTAAATATCGCATAAATATCAGTAGTCCATTTGGCTGAATATTATGACAATGCAGCGAAAGTTATTTAATATAAAAATACTCGCTTTTCTATACGATGGTATTTAACTAATTAACTGTTCTCTAAAAATAAAAGCACGATCTAATTAATAACACTGGATCACAAATTTTAGATTGGTTTTTGTTCTCCAGATTCCACTATCCAATACCTATGTAGAATTGCTCGGTGATTCCGAAAATCGGCATTTTTGCTGTAAACCAGTGTAATCATTAGTTGCGATCCCGTACGAGTCCGGACTAGTCAGAAATAGTCAGAATCAGTCAGATTTTACTGGAAATCGATCCCGTACTCGGTTCTCTGACTATTGAGAGGACAAAAAAAGAGAGTAAATACGGTTCTCTCCCTGTCAGAAGTTACCAGTTTTAGTCCGAGAATTTTTTGCTGGTAAATTCTGGTAAATGTGTCAAACGATCAGCTGTAGTGTGTTTGGCAACCAAATTGTAAACAAAAGAAAAGTGCACTCTGATAATTCTTGTTGAAAAGTATTTAATTACTTGTTTAAGTGGATTCTAATGAATTTGAAAGTATTTTTGGTTATTTACATGTGTTAGCTGAGTGTGTTTACATACAAAATAAGCAAAAATTTACAACCAAAATTTGGAGGTTATGTTGAAGTTGACAGAAGTTACCATTTTTTACTAGAAAGCGATCCCGTACTTTTCAATGTTACTCTCTCGCTCTGAGTGAATTTTTATTTTTTGACAGTTTTACTAGTCCGAGTCCGAGGAATACGGGATTGCACCTATTATATTATTAGGGGATTTACAAGACGTGTCAACCGTCGTAAAATCTTAGGCTTAATATTTTTTTTTTTAAGTAAAATAATCATTAAAATGGTTTTAGAGGACTTCTAACTGCACCGAAATGTTCTTAAACTGGTAAAGAATTATATATATAATTATCCGCTCCTAAAACCATTTTAACCGTTATTTTATATAAAAAATGCTAAGCTTAAGATTTTACGACGGTTAACACGTCTTGTGAATATATATAAACGACAATGAATTTTTTGATGTGACTTAATAAGAATATTGACTTGCTAGTATAGGAACTATTTCTTGAACGTTTATTTGCCAAAAGTTCTTCAACGCCTTGGCGCCAGTGAGTCATTCGCAATCGTATGCTGCGAATGCTGCATTATACTAAAGCCAGCCTTTCGACATAAGCTACTATTCCATACGAACACAGATATCGATGGCTCAGTGGAAGATCGACCACTGTTTGTTAAAGAGTGCTCTCTCAGAGAGCAGGTGTGAGAGTCGAGTAGGGAATGCATTGGCTGTCTGTTGCGATTGGAGCTTTTAATTAATTAATTAATCCCAACGGCTTTTTACCCTCATTCCCGTCCAACCGACACGACGTTAAGCTTTCCTTGCACTTTTGAGTGCACATTTTTGTATGCACAGAGACGGGCACGTATCTTGGCTGCAACAAGATAGTGGTCGCAGTAGATGTTTGGGGCTCGAAGCGTGCGTACGTCCAAAACACTGGAAGCGTTCTTTCGTCTATCACAACATGATCGATTTGGTTTCTCGTTTTTCGATATGGAGACAGCGGCGTAGCTTGATGGATATATTTATGATAAGTCGATACCCCGCAATCTGGTGTAGAACGTTTCGTCGTGGAGGCTGAATTTTCCGACGTTGGTTCCAAAGATCCCTTCCTTGCCCACCCGACATTGAAGTCGTTAAGCCAGATTTTGATATCATGGCGAGGGTAGCGCTCGTACGTGCGCTCCAAGCGCTCAAGGAAAAGATCCTTGGATGCCCCATCCTTCTCTTCCGTCGGAGACGACAGTACTCGTCGACGGAGTCTCCCACCACAAATTCAACACCTAATTTGCGCTCCTTGAGATGAGAACTGTAGTAGACGTCGCAAGGCCACAGACGTTTTTGCCTTGCTCCGTCAAACGTATTTCTTGGATGGCGGTGTGGTCAGCTCTCGTCCTTACGAGGCCGTCAACCAGCCGGGCAGAGACACCTTCCCCATTAACGGTCCGGACATTCTAGGTGCATGCCCTCAAATCGTAGTCCTTTAAACGTTTGCCGTGGTCGTCATCATAAGGGGGGTCTCATACGAGGCTTTGTTTTTTTCACAGGAAGGGGTCCCAAACCCAGCGTACAAGCCATTCTGGGACGGGCGTGGTTTCGCAACCGAATACACTTTTATATAGGGATGCGCTTGCTCCAAAGCAGACACCCGCTTGGAGCCACACCTACTGGTGAGCAGACGCCATCGACTTCAGTGAGCCCTTAAACCGAAGATGTCGGAATGGCCCCACCAAAGCTCCTTCTCTTTGTGCTGTGACCCAAGGCTCAACTCGGATTGTTTGCCCGGAGTGCGCGAACGAGGACGCAAAAGTCGGGATTGAGTATAGCCGTGAAACTTTAACTGCATACCCACAACAACGACCATATGTACCTCATTGCACATTGGGTTATAGTTACTAAATAAATAATCAATTTGAAATTTTATGTTGGTAATGCATACTGAAAATTTCTAGAGATGTACATACCATTCGCTAGATCGCAATAGGTTTGTTCGTCGAAAATCCAGCAAGAATTATCAAACACTCAAAATATCAGAGAGTAAGAAAAAATTCTCTCAAATTCTCTCTCATGTTGAGAAGCTTGCAAATTTCTGCACGAACGCAAATTTGCAGGAATTTACAAGTTTCGCTGCCAGCTGGCGTCCACGGTTGTATTTCAAACATAAAAAATTTTTATAGAATTTTTAAAATTCTTTCGGATGTCCAAAAACAGGATTTACATGTATATTTCTTTTTGTTCTGACTTTCTTTGACATACATTTCAATTTCTTCATCGTACTAGCTGTCGGGTTTCTTAAATCGACTCTGGTTGCAATTGCATTCCGATTGCGAATACCATTTTTTTCAGCCGAATTAAGTTCAAATCATTGGAATTAACTAAATTAATTATATCAACAATTATTTACTTCCTTTTTTCATAAAAAAATCGCTCGTGTTTATAAATTTTTAAATTTAACGAACTAATTTATTCAAATTATTGTAGACAAAAATGCAACCATGCGCCACAACCACATGTTTTTCGTGTTTGCAAATTCTTGCTGGCAAAATTTTTTCCAGCAAGAATTTGCAACTTCTCTCCAAGAGAACTGTCACTTTGCTCACAATTTTTGAGTGTTGGATAATTTTTTGGTCTGCACGAACGCGATTTGGGCAAAAATCGTGATAATTCGTACAAATTCGTACAAATTTTTTGCTCGACGAACAAACCTAATAACTGCATTTGACGGAAAGCTTTGTGAAGCCTCATCTGAATGCCTTTCCATTTAATACACGAAGATAAAAAGATAATTTCCCATATGCTCACATGAAATTTATTACTTGAAATTTTTCTTCAAAAAACCCCGACTCATTCTCATCTGTATCACCCACATAACCTAAACACACACGTCTAGAGTGCTTAGACGTGGTTCCCCGACTATATCTACATTGTCCTCGTCCTTATCAACACCGTAGTGTAA